CTGAAGACCCTTCTGACCCATCTAACTACCATCCTATCAGTCTCCTACCACTCTTCGGCAAAGTCTTTGAAGCTTTAATCACCACTGAAATGGTTAACTACCTTATATCCCATAATTTGCTCTCTGATAAGCAATATGGTTTCCGCTTTACCTGTTCTACAGCTGATGTGCTCACGGCCATAACTGAAATTGTTTCCCAACACTCCACATTAATGGAGAAGCTCATGTCATGGATCTAGATATCTCTAAAGTGTTTGATAGGATCTGGCATGCCGGCCTCCTTTGTAAGCTTAAGGGATATGGAATTTAAGGTTGATTATTTGACTTAATACAATCATTCCTGTCAAACCGTGTAATGAAGGTCATCCTTAATAGATTCTCCTCCAGTTCCTTTCCAAAAAATGCAGATGTTCCTCAAGGCTCTATCCTGGGTCCTACTCTGTTCCTTATCTTCATTAATGATCTGTCATCAGTTCCCAAGTACACATCTATGCTGATGACACCACTATTTACTCCTGCCTCAATAGCAAGTCTGGTATGGCTGATAAAACTAACCTGGCCGTTAGTCTTGAAAAGGACCTCCAATCAGTTGTAGACTGAGGCAGGAATTGGCTGGTTAACTTTAATGCCTCTAAAACAAAACTGCTCTCTATTACCACAGGGAACCATCCCTGCCACCCATTAGAATGTCTGATGCTCAACTCCATGAGAGCACCTCTTTGCGACTGCTTGACTATCCACTGACCTGAAATGAAACAATTACATTGAATCAATTGCTTCATCCACTGCAAGGAAAGTTGATTATCTGTGTCACACCAGAAAGTTTTTCTTGCCCGAGTCCACCCTTCAAATCTATAAATCAACCATTCGCCCTCGCATGGAATACTGCTGCCATATATGGTCTGGTACCCCGCTGTTCATCTTAAGGTCCTTGACAAAGTCCAGAGATGGATATGCAATGTGATTAGTCCTGATCTGGCATCTCATCTACAGTCACTCTCTCACAGACATGCCATTGCATTCTTTTCTACAAATACTTTCATGTTAACCCAGACTGCATTCGAATTTAAGACTGCATGAATTTAAATGTTCAACTAGGCATGGCATCTCAGTCCCACCCTTTCACTGTCGAAATGGTTAAATGTGGCCATCTCTTCTACTCCAATAGCTTCATGTCTCACACCTCCCGTCTGTGGAATTTCCTTCCTATTACTTGCTTCCCTGATAGCTATAATCTCCAACTATTCAAATGTAATGTCTATTGACATCTCCAGATGCCCTGACCTATTCCCTGTCCTTCTCTTCATCCTTTTCTCCATCATGCCTCTTTACTCTTGTTCCCACTCTGTAATCCCTTGCATGCTAGTAGCATCCCGCCTTGCTTAGGGTGAAATGCCTAAAAAAAAAAAGAATTATTCAATAGTAAATGCATATCAAATCCAATAATATGATTTATATACAATAATATATAATTATACAACTAAAATTGTGAATTGTGGGCTATACACAAATACAATAATTACTAATTACATAATTAATAACTGTCTGGTTAAACTAATGATTATGAAAATATAATTAAGAAATACAGTAATCAATTCTTACATTTCATGTTATCCAATAAGAAAAATTATCCATTAATAAGATCAGATCAGGATAATCCCATAAACTTCAAGATGCCTTTTAGAAATTTATCTTTGTTATTAGAGTAAAAGCAAAACTTTTTAAAAATTTGCCCTTTCCATTGTCTAAGGGGAGTTATCCTATGGGAGCCACTCTCCAGAGGCAGTTGTCCTATAACCATCAACTTTGATATACAACATATTTGCTGAGAATACAAATTTGATACACACTTCCAACTGTAAAAAGCATCTAAAAATGATTAAAGCCTAATCATAAAAACAAAAAATCCAGCCCTTAACAACATCAGCTATGAACACAGCCACAATATACTGGCTGTGTTCAGAAATTAAAAATATCCACCTTTTAGCAACTTATGCATTATTTAAAATAATGCAACCAAAATCCTTCAAAAAGGCTAATAGATTAGCTAAAAGTGATTTGGACATTTTCTACTCACAAATTTTCTACACTCACTCCCCAAAAGAAATTTCTTGTTCATATACAAGAAAAATGTTATAAAAAAACTTAACCGAAGTACCTCATCAATCATTTGAAATGAAACGTAAGAGAAATTGCTGATCCAAACACACACACACACACACACACACACATAAGGGAGAAAATGATATATAGATTTTAACTATCAAAGCATTTTTTTTTTTTTTTTTTTTTTTTATTTCACCCCAAGCATGGCGAAAAGCCACTAGGACAACAAGGGGTTACAGAAAATAGGAATATCAGATAGGAGTGATAGAAGAAAGGATGAGGGTAGTAGATAGATTAAGGCAACTGGAGATGTCGATTGACATTACACTTAAATAGCTGGAGATTATAACTCTCAGGGAAACAGGAGAAGGGAAGAGAGTTCCACAGGCGAGAGGTGCGAGACATGAAGCTATTAGAGTAGAAGAGACGGCTACATTTATGTGTTTTATTTAGTGAAGGGGTGAGCAGGATGCCAGCCTCGTAACTTGCGCTTGAACTCATGAAGTTTGGGAACCAGCGAATGCAGTTCCTCGGAGCAATTTCCATGAAAGTATTTATAGAACAGACAGAGGGAGGCGACGGTTGAGTCTGTGAGAAAGTGACTGTAGACGAGACGCCAGGGCAGGGCCAACCATTTATTGCATATCCGCTTTTGGAGCCTATCAAGAACCCCATTTTTCAAACAGAAGGGGCGCCAGACCATATATGGCAGCAATACAACTCCATGCAAGGGCGAATTGTGGATTTGTATATCTGGAGGATTGACTCAGGGGAGAAAAACTTCCTAGCACGGCTCAGGGAGCCAACTTTCCTCGCAGTGGACGAGGCAATTGACTCGATGTATTTATTCCATCTCAGGTCAGCAGTCAACATGAGACCGAGAAGCCGCAGAGAGTTGCTCTCGGAAGTTGAGCGTCAGACATTTATATAATGGAGGGAAGGAAGGCTCTCTGTGGTGATTAATAGAGAGCAGTTTTGTCTTCGGCGTTAAAGTTGACCAGCCAAGTTTTATTTAAAAGTTCACAATCGATTGGAGGTTTTTTTTCTAGATTGAAAAGGCAAGGTGAGTTTTTTTTCAAATTTTCACTGGATTTGTTTTTTTTTGCAGGAATAAATTGTGGTGTCATCCGCGTAGATGCCGAAATTGAGAAGTTACGCTATATCAAGCCTATCATTCATCTATGCATTGAATATTGCTTTCACATCTGGTCTGATGCTTCTGCTATGTATTTAAGAGATTCTTAATAAAATATAAAGTAGAATCTGCAATTTTATTGATCCTGACCTAGCATCATGGCTTCAATCACTTTCCCACCATCATAATGTACCTTCCTTGTGCCTTTTTTTATAAATATTGTCATGGTTATTGCTCTGCTGATCTCTCCTCTTTAGTACCAAGATTTTATGAATTTAAATATAATTAATTGATGGCAAGGTCTCACCATCTTACAGTTGTAATGGCTCGATGTAAGTGTAAGTTTTATGCTGAAAGTTTCTTCACTTGCACTTCTCACTTGTGGAACTCTCTTTTGGGCTTTTAGTTTCCAGTCTTCAAAAATTTAAATACAATGTCAACTGTTATCTTCTGACCTCTTAATTCCTGTTCTTTTATTGCCTTCTCTCCTTAATAATGTTTTCTTTTTCTCATATTCTCTAATACTCAGTAACCCCTTGCATCTTAGTGACTTTATTGTCATGCTGGGGATGAAATGATTAAAAAAAAACTGTTAGAAAAAGTAATGACAAAGTAGAAAAAAAATTTATTTAAAAGCTTAAAATTTCAGTGCCCACTCCCCTTTGTGTGCATGTATAGTTGCATCAACAGAAATATCACTTTAGTTCAATGAAGAAGGCCAAAATGTGTTACATGAAAAAATTTTTCCACTTTTTCATTAATCTTCCTTGTGTTGATGTGACTACACAGGTGCAAAAATGGGCATGCCGAGAATTTAAAATTTAAATATGATATTTTTTTATATGTGTTTTGGGTATAAAATCTAACTATATATAATCCAATAATAATGCAACATTGTCTTGATTTTATTATTAGCTAAAGAATTTTCAATTGTTGTTAATTTTTCAGAGGTGAATGTGCCTGAGAGTTTACAATGTTAGTATTTAGACCTTGAGCCCCAGGTTCAAATTTCACCATGGTCAATTTGTCAAATTGACTTCTTTATTATATTCAACAGGGGAGATGATCCCAGCATGTGGCACACTTGGAAAGTTCCTGAAAACCATACCATGGGTTGACCAAAATTTTGTGAATGAAATTGGGTAGCACAAAGTCACAAGTCATCATGACTGAGGGTTTAATCATACTGGCCTTATTCAGTTACTGATCAAACCATATTGTGTATTCACTCCCAGAAACTGTCACAAAGGTCTGCCCAGCATAGTTGCAGCATAAACTACATGCTGGTTCTGTGGATGTTGAAGTAACACAAATGTGCCTGAACAAATATCTGTAACAGGGATTATCTAGGATTACAAATTGAGAAAAAGAACAATATTCATAGTATACAGTTATCAATGGTGTAAACAGTTTCAAATTTGACATTTATTGAGTGATTTGTTTTTAATGGATTATCAACTTTTTGCAGGTTATTTAAAGCCAGAAAATAGTTTTAGATTGTACAAATGTTTTGGGGATAATAATGATTTTACTGATACAACTCCTACTAATTAGTCCATAGCTGGGGGGAGAAGAGGTGGATTCATACCATTGCCCACATAAGTGAATATAATGAACCCAACTGGATTTGGAACTTGGCACTCCAATTTCCAATTTCAGATCCGGGAATTGGAACTTGGTTCTCTGATTAACAATTCCAAGCCATTATCAATTACATCACCCACACATTCCAAGCCTACAGCACCTGGTATTTTCAAAGCTACAGCACCTGGTATTTCCAAGTGGTCACACATCTAGGTACTGAACAGGCTTGACATTGCTTAACTTTGGTGATCATATGGGAACTGGTGTTTCAATGTGTTATGGCTGTAAGCCTTGACATCATACTTATTATAAAACCCTGGTTGTGTGTGTGTGTGTCTGTTCATTTATATATTGGATCAGATTTCCTACATTTTTCAACCAATTTCAACAAAACTTCACAGGACTATGTAAAATTACCTTGCGGTGGTTCTGAAAGTGCCAAAAATTGGAAAAATACAATTGTTTTTGCACAAAATCAATTTGAAGACACGATTAAAAGGCATCACTGTCGCCAGAATGAAAGGGGGACAACTCATACCAAGTTATACTTATTATAAAACCCAGGTTGTTTGTGTGTGTGTGTGTGTGTGTGTGTTCGTTTATATATGAGATCAGATTTCCTACATTTTTCAACCGATTTCAACAAAACTTCACTTTTTTTTTGGCAGGTAGGGTTTCTTAATGTCTTGCACACTTTTGTCTTTATTTTTACATTCAGAATGCTTTAAAAATTCCATTTACAAGACAATTGTTTATAATAAAATTCTATTCAATCGGTATACTCATAACAATTGAAAACAATGTTTTTTGAGTTTGGGTTTGACCAATTCATAAAAAAAAAAAAAAAAAAAAAAAAAAACTAATTTAGACATGCATGTCCGTCAACCTTAAACAATAATCTTTGTCAATTTTATTTTTCAGTCTTTATGATGGTCGATACTTGATCTATCTCTTACTGTTACATCCCCAGGCAACGCCAGGCTCTACTGCTAGTTTATAAATAAAAACTAAAAAAAAAAAAGTACAGAAAACTCTTTAAGAAGTCAAGGATTGATTTAACACTGTACTTATATTATGAACCAAACCCCATTCTAAAATAATAAAAAATCAATATCTTTCAATTCTGACAAATTTTGTGTTTTGAGGAAGGTTTAATGAATACTGGTTTATAAAAATCATTCCCCACCAAAACTTTTCAGTTTTTTTACAAGTGATAGAGCCTGTCATGTTTCAATTGTAAGAAAAGGGGTTGTACAGGGCTGGAAAGTAAAGACTGAGTAGCTCCAGCCTTGTTATTGCAGCAATACTCCTTTTCTGAAATATCAAAATTTTGGATTTATACATTATCTGCTTTCTTCTTTTCTTTTTTCTTTGTGGATGAGTTGAATATTTTTACAAATCCAAATGTTTACCTCCTTAGACCTTCATAGATTCTTTTTTCATACCAAGCAAGGCAATAAAGCCACTAAGATGCAAGGGTTTACTGAGTGTTACAGAATATAAGAAAAATAAAGAAACACTATTAAGGAGAGAGAATAATTAAAAACAAGAATTAAGAAAAGAAAAGATAACAATTGACACTGTATTTAAATTTTAGAAGAGCAAAGTTGATTAGAAAGCAAGAAGCTAGAAATGAATTCCACAAGAGAGAAGTGCGAGAGAAGAAACTTTTAGCATAGAACTTATGGTTACATCTCACCATTTCAACTATAAATTGATGCGACCTTGCTGCCAATGTAGTACTGTGCTTAAATTCATAAAGTCTAGGCACCATGTAGGAAAGCTTATAAGAACAATTACCATGGAAGTATTTGTAGAAAAAGCACAGGGAAGCTACATGTTGGTGGGAAAGTAACTGAAGGCAAGATCAGGACCAATAACATTACAGATTCTTCTTTGAATTTTATCACAACTCTCTTAAATATATAGCAGGAGCAGCAGAGCAAATGTGGCAGCAGTATGGCAACTGGGATATAATTCACTTTTTATCTTTTATACACCACTGATTTTTCTTTTTGCTAAATGAATAACAGACATCTCTCACACAGCAATAAAGTTTGTGTCAAAACTTCAAAATTTTCTAAACCTTGAAATGAGATAAGAATCAGGAAATACAAAGCTTGCTTAATAAATATCAAGCCATTTAATACAAATGAAAAAGTAGCTTACTTAAGACAATGGCAACTCTTTCAAAGTACTCGCATTGAAACCTCATACACATATCAGAGTGTCCCTTCTGCTTTTCAAAGTATTTTGTCAAGTCATCTTTTGGTATAATCATCAGTGGCTCTGTCACATTATCCTTAGTTTTGTTTCTAACTGTAATGTTTCAATGATAGTTTTAATTTTGGGAAAAGCCAGAAGTTAAATCTAGACTGAAGAGATGCTGAGATACCTATATAATGTGATCCTTTGCCAAAAAGACCTTCACAAGACATGAAAATTCTACTCACTCAGTCATTATGAGTGTGAGGTTTACACAGTAGACAAGCTCACTCAATGATATAAAACTGTTGAGTAACTCCATAGGAGAGTGTCTATTCATGCATATTCAGTAATCAGTTGCTAACTTATGTCAAGGCCTTGTAATCAGGACATTGCATGACTGACATATTTTTCTCCTTTTTATGAATGCCAAAAATATTTGTAATCCTCAAGTAAAAAAATATCATTGGAGAAATGTATGTAGGTATGCTTCTTATGATCCTGTTATAAATATTAATTTACTCTTTTCTACCTGTAGTATCACATGCAAATTAGATAGACAAGTATGAATAGAGAACAACTGGTGAACATAAGAAACAGTTATACCTAGCATTGCTATTCAGGACACAGAGAACTATATTACAACTACTACTATGCAGAGAGATACGCAAAGCATAACACTATTATTGTTACATCCATCTATTTCAACCATATGCTATGTATGACTGGTGACTGTCCTCATTCTTGCATTTCTCTATCTCAGCCATATGCTCTGCATGATTGGTAACTGTCATGTTTTACAACAGATACAACAACATTTTCACTGCAACCACCTGTACACAGTGCTGGTGCGTGCTACTCCCAACTCCCATCATGGGCGGAGGCTGATTGGGATTCCCCAGCAAAGCCTTCTGACCCTCACTATCTTATTAACCTACATTTTTTTCTACCTACATTTATATATGTTACAAATTAAACCAAGCACAACTGATTATTAAAGGATGGAAACGTTTCATGAATTTTGATGTCATTCTGGGGTCTATTTTTTTGGTCAAAATCCATGAATTTATTTTGTGCATGTTAAGTCTCGAAATATCAGGAGATATTCAAAATAACTGGAACCTTTCTGGACAGATTTTGTTTAGCACTTTGTCCTTGCTTCAGTTATATTGAAGTAATATTGAGTAATTCTTTTTTTTTTGTGATTGAACGTTTTTAGGGATAACAATGAGTTTTCCAGATACAAGTCCTACTATTTAGTCCACAGTAAGGGGAAGAAGATGGAGGCACAGTAGAGTATGGATGCATGGTGTTGTAACACTGTGCTGCCGGCCCATGATCAATTCCCAGTTGCGGCGCAAAACTGTAATGTTTCTCCCACCGGCATTTTGGGGTTGACTCTTCATTGCTGCCACCAGCCTGTGTCCTGGTCGATCGATGGTCATTGTTACCCAGCGGAATCCCTTGGTCAGGGTACCAATATGTGACACTAGCCTGTCCAGGGTCAAATGCTGCTTGTCGCTATCCGGCGGAATCCTTTGGTCGGGGTACCGAGTGGGATGGTCGGTCGATGCTGACGGCTTCACACCAGTTGCAACTGGTTCGACACTAGCTCCGTCATTCCCAATTCACTTCCAATGTCTAATTAACAAAGTAATTGCTTCGATCTCAAGTCTAACCTACCCACATTGTGATTTTGATCTTAGGTAGAAAAGATCAATCAGGCATCGTGCTGTAATGTAAGATGAGTCCAGACTGGAGGTGATATCACACAAGCGTAAAGAAAAAAGAAACAAATAAAAACCCAGGTGGTTCAAGTATGTTAAAAAAATAACAAATTAACTTTATCCTTCTGTTATATACAAGAGTGTGTTTTTCTCCCAGCCCGTTTTCTACGGAGTGTGACACTTCTACGTTTCTTAAGCAAGTTTTTGTATCTTAAGTCAACTGGTTTAGTTTTTAGGTGCTGGATGGCTTCATTCATCAGTATAACTTGCTATTAGTAGGACAGGCGAAGTCGGAGGTCATGGAATCTCTCGATCAGCTTCTGCAAGGCAACTCTCTACTCAAGCTCTGACTCCTGAACTAACTGACTGTCACTGACTGTCGAACGGCCCAGGGATGTTCGTTTATATGGGTACCAACTAAAAACCAGTGCTGGGTTAGACGCAGTCTGGGGTTCTCGGTAAATCTCAATTTCCCACAAGAAATCTCTTTGTTGTCAGGCCAGGAAAATTGATTACTTCCCAAATTTTGGAAAATTGATCATTTTCCATTTTGGGGGGGAATTTCTCATCTGTGAGGAGACGTCGGAGAGCTATCCTCCTAAACTCTTCGTCTCTCACATTGATACCTCGTACCAATCCCTTCAATGGGTGTTAATAACTTCCCCGTTCTTCTCATCAAATTACCTCCACCTATCACCATTGCTACCACTCAACCAATGGTATCCCGGCCGTGTGGGTGTGGCTAAGCTGGCCTCCTTAAAATTATAACCCAGAATTTTTGTTCACAAAATTCTTTTTTTCCCATCGGCCAAAATTTTTATGAATCCCACATTGCCACTTAAAATCTCTCAGATCTTTTGGTCACTCAGAATCTTCTTAACCAGCACTCTTTACAAATTTCATCAATCAGTGTCAAAGTCTGCCATCTGATCCCTTCATGAAGTTAGCTTTTACTGGAACCATTGGCTTCTTGAGAAATTAAATTCCTTATCTCCCAAATCACGATTCTTCCACGATATCTTTTCTCATGCCCCAAATTTTATAATCACCATATTGCTACTCAACATGTTGGTGCCTGAAGACGACACTTTGGAAAAGTAAATAATAACAATTCTCTCCAACTTGTATTGGAATAAAATATTTCTCATGCCAAAATTTTTATAATCACCATATTGCTACTCAACGTATCGGAACCTGAAGACGACACTTTGGAAAAGTAAATAATAATAATTCTCTCCAACTCTTATCAGAATAAAATATTTCTCATACCAAAATTCCCACAAATACCATATGGCTTTGCCTTACAACACTCAAAAAAAAAAAATGATACCTATAACCTTGGGGGGCAACCAGTG